CACAGCCACTTGGCCACAAGAATGTTCCCCTGTGTCCTGGAAAATAAGCCTGGTGATGGTCAGTACCTGTATCCAGCAGAAATTTCTTTGAGGAAGCTAGGTATTTCTGGAGCTGAGCAGGACATGTGTCCTCCAAGAAAGCCTTAACTTGAGAGGCTTTGGGTGCACATATCTCCCAGAAGGTCTTGGTCTGCTTCGTGGAGGGCACAGCCATTGTCCACGTGAGAGTCTTCTGGTCAAAGGTGAGGGAGTTCTGTCCATCATAGCCCAAGCGCCAGAAGCCCCTAGTGCTCCTGTTTCCCTGAAGCTCACAGCCAAAGGTCATCTGGATGGTGTGATTTCCTGGTACACATCAGATAGGGATTTGTCACCTTTTTGTCCCTGGACCTCAGCTCCAATTCAGGGAATATAAGGTCTATCTTTTGACCCCCCAAATAGTGGGGCTCTACCTGTACTTCTTAGGAAAGGCCCACTGGTTTGCTCAATGAGCCAGCCACACCCTGACCACACCCTGACTTCAAGAACCAGGACTAAAGCTGGATGAACTGAAGTCTGTCCACTTACCCCTGTCTTGGCCTATATGCCTTGTGACCTCAGCCAGCATCACTCTGAGTTGCTCCTTCCACAGGTCCTCAGTCACTCTTGCCCAGGTCTCAGCTCCTGCACGTCCCTTGATCCTGGGCCTCAAAGCCTCTGCTGTCCTGCTGTCCCCCTTGTAGAGCAGGAAGAGCTTATCATTAAAGTATCCAAGAGCCAGGATCTTCTCAGGCCCCTCCAGAGAAGTGGTTAGGTGGTCATAGCGAAGAGTGTGGGGTCCTGGGGCGACAAGTTCATGGGTTCCCACAGTCAGCTCTGCCTTGAGAGATCGAAACCAGGCTATTCTCTGCCTCAGTGTCTCATAGGTGGATATGAAGAGCATGAGCTGTGCTCCCAAATAAATTAAGAAAAATGTAACAAAACAGTTCATTAGGTAAACAGAACAAAAAAGAAAATAGAAAGTCATTGATCTAAAACGAATTATGAAAAAATTATCAAGGTCTCTGAAGTTTTTAAGGAATTAACCAAAGGCCTGGGGAGAAAGCATAGTGTTTAAGAACATTGACTGCTGTGGAAAAGACATGGTATTTGAATCCCAGCGCTCACTTGATAGCTCACAACATTCTCTAACTCCAGTTCCAGGAAGTCCGACATCCTCTTCTGGTCTCTGGGGGCGCTGCATGCATGAGCTGCACACACATGAAGACAATATATCTATATACATAAAAATACATTAACAAATGTAAATAAAATGAACTTGTACTTATGGGTGATGGCACATGCACTTGAGTGTCTGAAAAAGGAGAATGCCAGGGTCTAGAGTTCCCACACAGCGAGAAATTGTCAGAGACAATCAAGCAAAACCGTGAATATCTGCCCCCTAAATTAAGCTTCACTGGATGATTGCTTTAATCTTCCAAATAGATAAATATTCTTAACTAAACTCTAGCAGAACAGGGACTGTGGGAGGCTCCTCAGAATGCTTTGGCTGCCCCCTTAACTCCCACCTGTCTTCCTGCCTACATCTTCCTCTATTCTCCTGTGCACACCCTTCCTCCACACTGTCCCATCACTCAGTCTCCTTGCTTGCTGTCAGTCCCCTTCATCTCCGTGGTGGGAGCCAGACAGACATGGCCACTACAAAAGTGTGAGGAGCCAGACTGATACAGGGCTTTCTCAGAAGCCCTGATAGTAGGACGAAGGGAACTTTGATTATGTTAACCTTAACCTGCCTGGGGAGTGGAAGGGGGATGACTAGGGGCAGGTGGGATGTTGG